GTGTGTGCATGTGTGAGTGTGTGAGTGTGTATGTGTGAGTGTGTGTATGTATGTGTGTACGTGTGTGTGTGTACGTGTGTGTGTGTGTGTGTGTGTGTGTGTGTGATGTATATGGGTATGTTTTACCTGCATGTATATATGTAATTGTACCATGTGCATGCCTGGGCCCATGGAGGCCAGAAAAGGTGTCAGATCCCCCAGGACTAGAGTTATAAAAAGTTGTGAGCCACCATGTGAGTGCTATGAATCAAAGTTGGGTTCTCTGAAAAAATAGGCAGTGCTCTTTTTTAAATTTTTTTAAACATTCAAATATTTTCTTTCTTAAACTTTTTTTTATTATTTATTTTTTACATTCCAATCCCAGATCCCCCTCCCCCCTCTCCTCCTGCTCTCCCCACTTCCTCCCCCACCTCCCATCTGCTCCTCAGAGAGGGTAAGGCCTCCCCTAAGAAGTCTACTAAGTCTGTCCCAATATCTTGTTGAGGCAGGATCAAGGCACCTCCCCACCCCCCACACCCCTGTATCTAGGCTGGGCGAGGTACCTCTCCATATAGAATGGGCTCCATCCACTAAGTCAGTTTGTGCTTTAGAGTTAAATCTTGCACCCAGTGCCAGTGGCCTCATATTGTCCCAGTCACACCATTGTCACCTATATTAAGGGAGTCTAGTTTGGTCCTATGCAGGTCCCCCCTTTGTCAGATCTGAGTCATTGATCTCTCACAAGCTCAGGTCAGCTGATTCTGTGGGTTTCCCTATCATGGTCTTGACTCCTTTGTTTATATTATTGCTCCTCCCTCACTTTGATTGTACTCCAGGAGCTTGACCCAACTGTTAGTTGTGGATTTCTGCATCTGCTTCCATCTGTTTCTGGAAGAGGGTTCTAGCTTCACTGGAGTTGTGGATTGTAGGCTGGGTATCTTTTTGCTTTATGTCTAGTATTCACTTATGAATGAGTACATACTATATTTGTCTTTCTGGTTCTGAGTTACCTCACTCAGGATGTTTTTTTTTTTCTAGTTCTGTCCATTTTAGGCTGTGTTCTTAATAACTGAGCCCATGAGTTTCTTTTAATTGGAGATGTAACATGGGAGAGCCACTATACAGCAAGCAATGGTGGGCACATTGACTTTGTGGTCATTCATGCTCTTTGCCACATTCTGTAAAGAACTGCTACACTGCTATTAGAGTCATCTGAAGTCTGGTTTGAAGACAATGGTACCTTGTTTTACACAGTGAGAGCTAAGATTGACAGTTAGGACAGCTGAATGGACTACACTCGCAATCCTACCTGAGCATGTTCCCTTGGGAATAACAGGCACCTCGTTAAGGAAATTTGGCTGAAAACAGTTTCCTACGTATATCCACACATTATTTTTAAGTGTTTAAAGGACAGTGTTTTTTTTCCTCAGGCTTTCTTCTTTCCTATAAGTAATATATTTTGCTGAGGGAATGGTTGTACACACTACATTAAAAACTGGTCTTTTTTTTTTTCTTTCTTTCTTTGTAGTCTTGGCTGGAACTCCCTGTGCAGACCAGGCTGGCCTCATAGAGTTCTGCTTCCTAAAATCTGGGATTAAAGGTGTGCAACATCAGTTTTCTGTTACTGCAATTCATGCTCAGAGGAGATCCTTGATTTTCCTTATTAATTCTTCCATTGCTTACTTTTAAAAAAATGCTTGCAGGTATAGACTAGATAAACAGAAATTACATGTATTAGAAAGAACAAGTCTGTTGTTTGAGGAATGGGTACCTGATTGATGGTATTGTCAACTGGGTGTGTTTTACAAAGAACATAAACTGTTTATGGACATAAACTCAGTGACTTGATTCAAAAAAAATTGCTTGCACGTGCCATTCCTGATTATGCCTGACACACTTCCTCAAATACAAGAGTTTATGGACAAGATGGGTTCTCAGTTCTCAGGGGTGTGACCTGGGAGGTAAAACATTTGCACAACAACCCACAGACAAAGTTGGGGTTGTAACTTTACCAAGGTGGCTGCATCGAACCTTCACGTACCTCACAGAGGAGTCCTTGACGTGCACACTGGTCCAAGCACTTAGCACCCTCATCAGCCTACTTTAGCATTCACCCTGATCCACACAGCAGGGAGAGGTTAATAGTGACATTAGAGGTGCTACACACTCCGCTAGCCTGTAGAACAGAAGCTTACTATCTGCCTGGAAGGATTAACGAGCAAATCAGGACTCTTAGAATGTGGAGTGGGCACCGAGGTTTACAGGGTAGCAACATCTCAAGGGACAGGAATCTGGAAAGCTCTGCAGAACAAGATGGCACGTCACATTTGAAGAATGAGGCGATACTACATTCAGCCTTAAGAAATGGGTTAATAGCGCTGGAGAGATGGCTCAACAGTTAAGAGCACTGGCTGCTCTTCCCTCTCTGGATTACTCAGGGCAACTAGACTAGGGTCTTAACGGAGGTGTCATGGATGTATGACCCCGAGGCATCTAGAAGTCACCTGAGAAACCCTGTAAGAAGACCATACTCTGCCCCTGAATTTGTGGAAATTCCAGTAGCCCGTCTGGCGGGTCCACATAAAGGCTGGTCACCGCACACATTGAGCTATCCCATGAGCCTGGGTTGGGGCCCCCTAAGACATAGAGGAGCTATCTGTCCCACTGGTGAAACTCTAAGAGAGATAAATCTAACCCCCAGTATGGCTCTGGCTTAGACTTGTTTCAGCCACCAAGACAATTCTCCAACCACATGAGGGTCAGACCGCTGGCGGAACGGAACCTGCACACAACTTCTGAAAATAACTGAATAACTTCATTCTTACATTTTCTGAAACATTTTGTGGTAAAACTGCTATTTTTGAGATGCTTAACTTGAAACCTATACAAATGTGAGCATTTGGGGGACATTTTGGGACTTCAAGTTTTTAGTCCCTCTGTCCTTTCTCTTCATTTCCTCTCAGCAGCTTCCTTTTTCTTTTCTTTTCTTTTTTTCTTTTTGGTTTTTCAAGACAGGGTTTCTCTGTGTAGCTTTGGAGCCTTTTTCTTTTCTTTATCATTTATGTTTTATTTTGTTTGCTTTGCTGTCTGTACTGGAGGGGTGCACATACACATGTGTAAGGAGGCCTGAGGTCAACATCTGGCATCTTCCCTGGACTACTCTCCACTACCTTTGGAAATAGGCTCTCTCCCTGAACCTGCGGCTCCCATTGGTCCAATGTGGCTAGACAATGAGCTTCAGCTGTGTCCACCAAACCTCAGGGCTAGGGCTACAGGCTACAGGGCTATGGCTCTCAACACCACACCTGGCTTTCTGTGTGGATTCTGGGGATCTGAAGCAGGTCCTGTTTCTCTGAGCGTGTGAAGCAGGCCTGCTCTACACAGTAAGTCCCATGTTAGCCAGAGCTACAATAGCAGCAAAAAATTTAGCTAGTTAATAAGGAATATTATGAAAAAACATATTTTATTAAAAATACATTTGTCTAAAAATATTTTGTCAAACAGTGCGTCAAGCGTAAATCTATGTCTAAATGAATGCCCTGGCACAAAACTGGAACTTACTTCTCTGTGTTTAAAGCAGCAAGGCTGAGCACGGTGCTGCATGCCTTTAATCCTAGCACTAGGGAGGCAGAGGTAGGTGGGTCCATCTCTGTGAGTTTGAGGCCAGCCTGGTCTACATAAAGCAGCAAGGTCTTCCTCCAAATCTTGGTCTACTCTAAGTAACATTTACAAGAAATCTGTATAAAGGGACAAGGAGTTCGTCTTATTAACATGGCTTCCTTGCTTCCTGCTGATTTTCTCAGGTATTTGAATCCTGGTTTACTTATATATCTATTTATATAAAAGCTTTATGGAATAACCACTTTATAAACAAGTATTAAGATGATTCCAGCACATTTCATAGCCTACATATCTGTGACCAGAAATGTGTAGAGGTGTGAGCCTAACCCTTATACAAATGTCATAAAAAAGTTTGAAGTTAAAGGGCCTGTGAGTGTAACACATGCAAAGTGGACAATAATGCTCAGTTTTACCCATGCACATTATATCTGGATTTCTGACATTTAAAATCTTGTTAAAAAATCTTGTGATAGTCTTGAAATGCAATTGAGCATTGGCAAATGAGCCATGAAGCTATATGGATCCTTTGTCTTTTTTTTTTTTTTTTTTTTTTTTTTTTTTTTTTTTTTTTTGGCTAGTGCTGTGGACCAAACATCCTACCAAGTCAAAGGTTCTGTTTTGTTTCAAAAGTAGAAGCTGAGTTGATACATTAAGGACTTCTGTATAGATGGAACACTAATTGTTGTGGGCTCATTTATATTTTGAATATTCATGTTCTTCAAGTATTCAAGCCTGCTAAAATGTAAAACACCAAGCTGCTGTTCTCCAAAACTGGAGTTGTTAGTGGTCCTAACCTTTCCCAGGCTTGTGTTTGCACGGTCTTAATTATAACATGAATTTTATCTTATGCAAAGATAATTAGACATGCCTAGACACTGGACCCCTACGCAGTGCCTCAGAAGTAGTTAACAGCTACGAGACACTGCTCATCTAGGGAGCTCATGTAAAAAACTACATTCTGTTTGATTTAGAAAACATTTTAATTTATTTTAAAAGAC